CCATCTGCGTGAGTGCGTTTTTTAATGAAGATTTTATTGCGTCTAAAAATAGATAAGTTTTTTATGCTTAAAAAATTAGGAAGTTAGCATTTTGATTTTTTTTTCGTGGGAAAATACTTAATTTCACATAATTATATGGATTTGCAAAAGATCTTAATAAGGGACGTATATATACTATTATCGATTCTTGGACGTCCAAAATTATTTTGGGCAGTTTTTGCCACTTTTGAACAGTGTCCAGTCCCAAACGAAACACTAGGTTGATCGAAATTTCTATCACTTTTTAATTTCCCGAACTTTTTAACTTAAAAAAACGAAAATTAGAAATAAATTGAATATCAAAAGTGATTAAATTCTTATAATTTCACTAAAAAACGTATTCATTACAATTTTCCCTTGAAAATCAAACTTTTTTCGGATAAATTTCATACTCGAAAGCATCGTATTTTGTTTCCTTATCTTATTTAAAGAGAATAGTCTATTTTTTCTTAAACAAAATTACATAATTCAAAATCTTCCCAGCGAAATAAAAATAAATTCCGAAATAAAACTTTGATTCCATACTTATGTAAGCGTATCATATTTTGCACGCTTAATTTATTTTGAAAAAAATATTCCATTTTTCATAAAAAAAATTATACAATACCAAATTATCAATTCCGTCATAATTATACTTAATTTATTTTTTTAATAGTCATTTTTTCCTAAATAAAATTACATAATTCAAAATCTCCAGTCAGGTCATATTTTGTATCCTTAATTAATTAAGCAAAAAATAGTCTATTTTTTCCAAAATAAAATTACATAATACAAAATCTCCCTAGCGAAAAAAAAGTAACTAAATTCTGTCCAATTAATCCCTCCAAAGAAAGTCGAGGAGGAGGAAGAAATCATCACGGAGTGTTGACCAAAGTGGAAAAAAGTAATTAAGCTGGGATCGAAATGGGTACAAATTATGGAAAAAGTGTGTATTTTGTATATTTACTTGAGGAAACATGATAGCTTTCTCTCTCCCCCGGACATATTTTTACTATGTAGTTCGGATTTATGTAAATTTAGCTTAATTTCCACCCCACGTAATGAACTCGTAATACGGACGTACGTACGGAGCCACGTATAATGAGGAGAAGAACAAGAAGAACATGGAGAAGAACAGGTCGAGTAATAATGATAGTGAAAGTGGTGGATATCCTGTATCCAGGAACATAGGTGGGCGTTCCGCGTTGGGCGGGCAATATGGACGAAAGGCCCGCATTTTTAGACAGCGGGCCGACCAGGCGGTGGCGCCAATGGTGGCGCAAATTCTTGTGGTCAGCGGGGCCAAGAAAAAATATTGATGGATAATCGATAAGGCGTTAAAACTGGTGAGAAATTTAATCAAAATTAAAGTTTAAAGTTAGAAATTTAAAATTAAGAAAAATTACTGAATTGTTTTCAAAAACAATACTTTTTTCAAAGTAAAAAATAGAAAGAATCCACCACGTTTAAACGCTTCAATTTTTTAAAAAAGTTAAGGTTGGTGCAGCTAAATTCTGTCTCAATGTACCTCAAACTGTGTCCGGCTTTGCTCTAATCTACTCTGTCAAATTAAATCCCTCTACATAAATATCCAACTTTTTGGGTGGTAAAATAAGAAGTGCATTTTTTGGTTAATTTAGTTCCTACCAGTGGAAACAAGGAAAAAAGATAAAATTTTTTCGGACAGCGCACAACAAACTTTCTCCCGGAAAACGGGCATCTATGGGACACATCCACCCAGACATATTTAGCACACGCCGGGCCGAGGATAGTCTCAAGAGGGGAATATTATTCAACTCTTTCTGCATAATTATTACTTTCAGGAGAGCCAACTCATTGAATACGAAGGTAAGCAAGTAAACGCGGAGGAAGGATAAGAAGAAGTGCAATTTCAGCTTAATTCCATACCCACCAAATAAATGGTAAACGTAACTAGTTGTAAATTAAGAGAATGTGCAACTATTTATACGTGCGAGTATAATAGATCGATGTACATGCATAGAGTTGTACACATGGGTATACATTTTGCCAATTATGGCAAATTTATGCCATTTTCGCATTTACATTTAGGCCGGTACATACATGTATCTATAAGGCAAATGTTACAATCAATGCCCAATCAGAAATTTATGCCCGAAAATCTGAGTATTGTGGGTGATTTAGTTTCAAATAAAATTCCGGGTATTTATTTTCGTCCCAAAATGTGCGTCATTTATTTTCATGTCAAAGATTCCATGAATTTATTTTCATACCCAAAATGTCTAACGTATTTAAATTCATAACGCCAATTTTAAAAATTTCTATGAATTTATTTTCATACCCAAAATGCCAGGAATTTAGTCTTATGCCAAAAAGTCCATGAATTTATTTTCATACCCGAAATGTCCGCCAGTTATTTTCATACCCAAAATGTCTAATGTATTTAAATTCATAACGCCAATGTCATATAAGAGTCTTATAATAAGACCAATGTTACAATAAATGACCAAAATGCAACCCACCCACAAATTTGCATGTCCATCGTACAACTCTACGCTTGGACGGATGGACATTGCGTGCGTGTATGGGAACATCTTCGCCCACAAGAAGAAGACCATGTGCCCATTGCTTTCGCCGCTATTACGACGACGACGACGACGACGAGTTCACTTATTATTATCGAAAATCGATACAGACTCCATTACACACAAACACACGGCACATTAGTTTACACACAAACACACAAAAGCCGACTATTTAGGGTTTCCTCGGCCGGACTGGAGAACATTGTTCATCTCCGTCTTAATTGCGCCAGAAACATGGACGTAACAACAACAATCAATTCAACTGACCGATGAATCCTAACCGCCTCGTGATAGGGAAGGGGAAAGTGGCCGCGGAAGGTGAGGGAGGGGACATCGGGGGACGTTAATATTATAGGATGGGGGAAGGGAAGGGTTTGTATAAGGTGGGGACATGATGGGTAGATTTAATTATTGTGGGGATAGCGGGACGATGTCGACACCCTTCCGCGGCCACTGGGGACAATAACTCTAAGCTTGTGGGGGTAAGGAAGGATTGTGATAACCAGTGGCCGCGGAAGGTGTGGGGACATGGGGGGATATAAACATTGTAGAATATGGGTTTATATAAGATGGGGACATAGAATTACCCTGGGGACATTGTCCCTCTGTCCCCTCAAGCTTCCGCGGCCACTGGTGACAACAACTCCAACCTTCTCATGATAGGGAAGTATTATGATAACCAGTGGCCGCGGAAGCCGTGGGGACATCGGGGGCATTAATTAGCATTGTAGGATGGGGGGAGGGAGGGATTTATATAAGATGGGGAGATGATGCCGACATCGAACAACCGTGGGGTCATTGTCCCTCTGTCCCCTCACCTTTCCGCGGCCACTGTTGACAGACAACAACTGCAACTGTTTTGTGCGAGGCGATTGTTTTGTCCGAGGGAAAAAAGGACGGATGGGTTTCATGACATGACGATTGACTGTGTACAGCTCATTCCCAGGATATGATAAGATCCGACGGAGGGCATAATAATTCCAGTGTGGTCGTAATTCGTAGTTTTCACATGTCGTAAATAACAGAGTTGTACGAGGGCAAAGGCGTCGAAATATGTGAGTGATGGGTATTTGTGACGTGACAATAATTTCCTTGCATTTTTTCATGAAAATGAAGCGCATGCATTTTTCGTATGAAAATAAATCAAGTGCATTTCTGCATTAAAATAAATCACGTGCATTTTGTTCATGAAAATAAGTAAACAGCGTGAATTGTGTCAATGAAATCATCAATAATTGACATTTTTCATGAAAATGAATGATGTGCATTTTAAGCATGTCAATTTTGGAATTTTTTACCCAAAAATCAATTTCCTCCACATTCACCATGCCAACCAACGTCGGTCTTAATTTGAATCGTGGGCAAATCCGACATGCCACAAATGTACAACTCTACTCCTAAAACAGAATACGAACTTTCTCGTCAGTCAATTTGATTGCATTGGATTGCATCATCATCCTCATTTTCTCCGATGGACGTATGTGCATTTCCTACATACGTAAATACGTTTCCAATCGAACGTATGTCCACACGAAGCTGGGAATTTGGGAGAGAGACCAATGTTTGCAAGTAGTCAAATGAGGAGCAATTATGCATGTGCATACTTATGAGTTGCACAGACTTACGTACATATGATAGCATAAGACGGATAAGTATTTATAAGAAATTGTGGAAATATTCAATCATAATTTTTGAAGAAAATGGCAAAAATTTAGGAAAAAATATAAATTTCGGATAAGTATTTATGTATAAAAAATTATAGGTATGTTATACTCAATTGTAATTTGTGAAGAAAATTATAAAAAATTTATGAAAAAATATTAATTTTGGATAAGTGTTTATGTATATATAAGAAATTATGGAAATATAATTTAAAATTTTTAATTCGATAAATACAAATTTTTATTTAGAATACAAATTTCTGTTGTAAAATTTAAGCATTTTTCATTTAAAATCGTCAATGAAATATGAAAATAATACATTAACATACTTACTTATCTTTGAATAAGCAATAGTCAAAAATGAGACAATTCACTTATTGCTAACTCGTAAAATGTGTATATTTTGTAAAATAATTTTTACAATTTTTTTCTGAAATCAGGAAATATTTAAGAAATATTGATGTGTAAAAAAATCTAGAAATATGTACGTACAAAATATTTGAAAAATACTTAGAAATTTCGGTGATATATAAAAATTTGAGGCAAATTTTGAGTCAAATTTTCAAATTGTCATGATATGAAAAACTCTTGCAAAATGAATAAATATCCGCACCGTACGTACATACGCTTGTTACTTACTTATTCATCCTCAGATCGAGCCGTCTAATCGTCTGGAGATGCAAATCCCCCGTTTGCAAATTGACTGGGGAGACGAACTCCACATTTCGCATATGCAAGTACATACATACCGATTTGCAAATCTCTTACCTTCAGCCACTCGCAATTCCAGTCCAGGAGCAGATTCGTGTTCGTGCTAAACTCTGAAAAATTTCGAATTTTACTACTTCAAGATGGATTTAAGGTGTCGAAAAAATCTTGCGTCCCACCAAATCTCCCCACCGCAATGGATAACCGAGAGATGTTTGGAAAGTCCGGGATTAAGAGAGGTTCGGAAATTTGGGATTATTTCGACATAATATTTAAGAATTTGGTGGTGATGGGGAAGAAAAAATGGAAAATTGGGTCTAAATTTAAGAATTTTTGGGGAATGGAGAAGAACATGTGGCACAATTTTAACAATTTTGATGAATCACAGCAAGAATTTTAGGGATCGAAAGAAGAATTTTGAGAGAATAAGAATTTTGGTGAACAAATGAAAAATTTTGGGGAATTAATAATTTTGGGGAACAGATGAAAAATTTCGTGGAATTAAGAATTTTGGTGGAATAATTTACAAATTTTGGGGAACAAATTAAGAAATTACGCCTAAAAAAATCTGTATTTATTTTCAGGTCGTGATTTCCTTCTTTCCTGGCGGCACACCCACAAATAATGTCACGACCACGGACGGGGGTCATCATTATGGTCATCGTCGTTCCCCTCAATCCAGACAAACTTATTCCTCCTCGTCCTACTTCCTGTTAAAATTTGGCGTCCTCCTGGTCGCCGTGCTCCTCTCTGCCACGTGGTTCATCTCTGCACGAAATAATAATGGTGAGAGACAAATAAAATTTTCAAGAACAATGTTTCGTTTCTTTCGGATTTGCCACATTTCTTGCAGCGTGAAAAGCAAGAAATGCGAAGTGCGAAATGCAAAAAACTGCCATTCACGCCGATATTTGTAACCTATTAAATTTTATATGACTTCATTTTTTTTAATCCTGTGGAATCGGTTCCCAACTTTTCTTGCGGGTTTGCCACATTTTTTGCAGTGCAAAGCAAGCAATGCTAGAAATTCCAGGTGCAAGAAACTGGGAGAAAATGCAAGAAATAAGCGCCACCTAGTCACGCGCTGTGTGAAATATTTACCGCGGCGGGGCGTAGTTTCTCCCACCTTGCATTTCTCCCAGGGCCATACTTGCAAGAAACCACTTTCTTCTAATTATTTCTTGCACGTGGTTATTTTCACCATTTTAAAATTTTTATTAATCTAAAAATACAGCTCAAAATTCTGGACTTTCTCCTCCACCTCACACAAAAATCCAACCAGGCCCAGAAGTAGGAGACATCCTGGCCAACAAATTGGCACCAAGTGGCACCACCACACCTGGCCCTGACCTTTTCGAGGTGAGTGCATTTTCACATTTCTTTCCATCAAACTCATCCATAAGTGGACAATGGAATGCAGTGGCCGCGGAAGCTTGAGGGGACATCGGGGAACATTAACATTGTAGGATTGGGGAGGGAAGGGCCGGGTTTATATAAGATGGGGAGATGATGCATAACCGTGGGGACATTATTGTCCCTCTGTCCCCTCAATCTTCCGCGGCCACTGTACTGAAATCCGTACATGTGTCATTTACAGGGTGCCACCACCACCACCACCACGACTGCCGCTAATCATGCCGGTGATGGATTGACGCTGCCGCCCGAATCGGTGTTCCACCAGAGAAAGATAACTTTTTGTTTTGATGATGACACGGAAACACTTTTAGAATCAATTGATCTATTTTAGTCGAAAAGTAAGAAGAGAAAGGGATTTTTGCTTTCTCTTTTTTTCATTCCAGAGAAAGTTTTCTTGTTTCTTGAAATTTATAATGTACACGTTTTTTCTCTCTTTTTTAAGTCGATGTCTTATCATTAAAGGGTGAAAGTAAGGATATTTTTAGTCATTTTTATGCCATGGGAATTTATTTTAAAATTTCTGAATGATAAATTTGTGGGGAAGGGAGTTGCCAATTTTTTTAGAAATGTATAGATTGTGATATTTTTTGAAGGAGGAGATCTTAAGTTTAAGAAAAGTTGGAAGTCATCGAAACTGGATTAAAAAATACATTTTAAATAATCATTTGTCCCCTCTGGGAACTTATTTTAAATTTCTGAACGACAAATTTGTCCTCAGTGAGTTGATTGATGGAATGGCGTCGAGTTTTTAAGCGAGTTTCGACGAGTTCCAATGTTCCTGAAGGTTTCTTAAACTTGAGATCTCCTCCGTCAAAAAGCGTCAAAATTTGAAGTGTATATTTCTAAAAAATTGGGAACTCCCTGCTCTACAAATTTGTCGGTCAGAATTTTTAAAATACGTTCCCAAAGGGGCGAAATAAATTCTTAAAATTGTGCCGATTAGTCATAAATACGTAACAATTTTTTTACAACATATTTTTATCAACCGTAATATTTATCTTTATTCATACAAATATTTATTTATATTTTAAGAGTATTCGTACAATAGGAATGCAACATTATAATCAGTTCTGTGTGCAGCTAACACAGCAGGATTTGAAAATTAAATATATATTTTTTTAACAGAGCAAGATAAAAAAGGAGCATTTTTCGTATATTTATTTAAATTTCTTAAATTCATCCCTCGTGAAACATTGAGACCAACGCCATGACTCCGATACCTAGTAAAATCCCACCAAATTGTTTGACCGCTTCTTTCGGATCGTCCTCCTTGACCAGATCTGGAAGTAGGTTGGTTAACGCGATATTTATAAAGCAGCCCGACGTGAAGGGGAGGATCCACCAGGTTAGGTTTCCTGAAATGAAAGAAAGAAGGGAAATATATGAGCAGAGGCCGGCTATGTAGGTATTTTCGATTTTTTTTTTTTACAAATTTTGCAAAATTTTTATATTTTTGATTTTTTTCGTACATATTTCGTGACTATTACAATAAAACAAATTAGAGAAGAATCTTTTACGAAAATTTACCCATATTTGACTGCATGGAGTCTACACTGAGGGTAAATATAGCACCGAGGAGTCCAATGGTGGCCGTGTAAAGTTGTGCTTTTGCCGCATTCCAAGGATTGAATCCGGCACGTAGAAGAATGGCAAAATCTGCGATTTCATGAGGAATTTCGTGTAATAGGATTGCAATCGTGGTTAGAATCCCGATCCGGAAGGATATCACAAAACTCCCAGCGACTGCTAATCCATGAGTGAAATTGTCAAACCCGTTCGCCACCAGGTTTAAGTAACCTGCGATCTAGAAAACAATCGAAAAAATTAGGCAGATCAGGAGTGTTTCAATCAATGTCCCACGCTGGGTAATCAGTGGCCGCGGAAGGTTGGGGGACATTAGCATTGTGAGATAGAAGAGGAATTAACATGATGCGATATTGCTAAATTTCTGCCCCCCCCCCCCATTTCCCTGCTTCCGCCGCCAATGGAGCTAATCAACAGTAAATAAGTAAATGTTAAGGCTGGGAAAAATACTGGGTTAAAATGTGCCCTATTTTGAGTCCCGTTGTTCCCAGGGTTTGGATTTCCGGGAGTGTTACACCCACAAAAAGATGAAAATCTACGTGGAGAAGGCAGCAGTCATACGAAAATACGGGTTTTCTGAAGAAATTAACTTTTTATCTGGTACAATACGTTGGGCGTACTCACGTCAACTCGGAATCCCGAAAATTTCGCAAAATCTTTGCTGGAAACGATACGATTTTTCTCGCAAAATTTACCCAGCAAATGGGCATTTCAGAAACTTATTTTGCAAACTCATCCTTACCATCATCACCGAGAGAAATGTATGGGAACGACATGCACAAAATATGAAAGATTGACGAGTAATTTGCCAAGTCATATTTTGCGGATCCCGTCACGCCATAAATTTTTTGAGCTTTGCAAGTGTGCAATTTGCGAATTGCAATGCGAAATACCTAAATAAGTACACCCATTGTTTTCACGATGTTAAAAAAACTTCGCTACTTTGATAAGATACAAATTGAATTTTTTGCAAATCCCGTATTTTCGCATGACTGTCGCCTGCTCCACGTAAATTGTCATCCTTTTGTGGGTGAAACGCCCCCTTAATTCCAAACCCTGCGAAATCCAGAGCTCAAAATAGTGTCCATTTTGACCCCGTATTTTGCCCATCTCTGCTGCGCAAATTAAGCTCGACGTACGTGCTTGTTCTGATGAGATGAGGATGACTTGGAGGATGAGGAAGGTTCTTCTTCCGGGGGAAACTGTCCCCCTGCCGGTTTCCCGTTCGCGACGGGTTTCACCTTCTTTTCTACATTGTTATTCGAGGAATCCGATATGTTTATTTCAGTCTCAAAATTCTCCTCCTCCTCAACGCCAACGTCGACATGGGCGTCGTCGTCGTCGTCGCCGCCCTCCGAGTTTGCAAAGACGACTAGTTTTTCACAAATGACGAAGCTAATGATACCAATTAGCACCCAGAATCCCAGCAGCATTAGAGTCTCGTGTTTACTTGAGCCGGATTCTGGAAATGTAAATAGGGACAGGTTTTAGTTTTTTGTCCGGGTATTTTTGTTTTGTTTTCGGAGAATGGAGGTGAACCAGGCGGGTGCGATCCGATTTTCCGGGGACAAATTTGATTCGTATGAAATTTGCGAAAGACGCGATCTCCCAATGGGCACGGTTGGCCGAGATATTTGCATCCGAAGAGGAGAAAACCGGCGGGAAATTTGGAAAGTGTAAAGTTGTCGACTTTACTGCGTGTTTTCTCCTCTTCGGATGCAAATATCTCGACCAAACGTGACCTTTAGTTGATCGTGCCTTTCGCAAATTTCATACCAATTAAATTTCTCATCAATCGACACCAGTTTGTCAAAATCTGCAAGCATTCTTAAGCAAACCAGTTTCAATCTATCGCAAATATAATTAGTGTCAAATTTAAATTTGCGAAAGAAAAGATCCACTAAAGGTCACGTTTTGTCGAGATATTTGCATCCAAAGAGGAGAAAACGCGCCTTAAAGTCGACAAATTTTACACTTTCCAAATTTATTGTGCCTCTTTTCTCCTCTTGGGATGCAAATATCTCTGCCAAACGTGCCCATTGGGAGATCGTGTCTTTCGCAAATTTCATACTAACTAAATTTGCCATCTATTCACACTAGTTTGACACCCAAAATCGGAGAGCATCCGCTGGGAGACCTCCATTCTAAGGATTTGCATATTTACCTCTGGCAGCGCTCCACGCTTCTGGGAGCAAGTGTAGGAAAACATCACCGAGTAAACTTCCCACTGCGAAATTGAGCAGTCTTTTCAATTGGCGTGGGCTGATGGCTGGAAACAAAGAATAGACAACAATTATTTTAGTGGACAGGAATAAGCTTAATGTGAAATTGCGCGTGGGCGAGATTTGTTTTCGAATTTTCCAGGTTTTTTTAAAAAATAGTTTTGTTATGATTTTTTGTATAAGAAAATTCCTGGATTTTTTAAATTAGTAAAATAACAAAAATAAGAGTTTAATACATTTCAAGTGAATTTTTGCGACTGAATGTCGTATTAATATTCCATTTCTGGGAAAATATATTATGTTTCTTAAAATGCTTTTTTTACTACAAAATTTCTATTTTCAATCTGAAATTTCAATTGTTTTGGCGAAAAAAGTCGAAATTTTGATGCATTCAATGCCTTTGTATCTGTCATATTACGTGTAACCTGGACTGGACTAGAAGTTAGTACACACAAAATTGGTATTTTTATCAAACACACACCTTTTTAACGTGTTTTTTAAATTGCGACAAAATTTCTATTTTCAAATTGAAATTTCTAATATTTTAGACAAAAAAATCTAAATTTTGATGCATTTCATTCCTACATATTCGTCATATTACATAAAACCTGGCCTGGACTGGACGTTACGTATCCCACAAACCTGGAGAAATTGATATCTTTAACAAACACACATCCTTTCCAACATGGTTTTTAAATTTCGGTAAGATTTCTATTTTTAAAATGAAATTTCTTAAAATTTTTCGTAAAAAATTGAAATTTTGCCGCATATCATCCCTACATATTCATTATATTACATAAAACCTGGCCTGGCCTGGACTCGACTGGACGTTACGTATCCCACAAAACTGGACGAATTATCATCCTTCTTATCAAACTCACACACACCTTTTCCAAGTTCACTGTCCTGTTACATGTACTCAGATACAGATGAAATGTGTGCATACATCTGCAGAAAAGAGGAGATTTTACAGTCAAAAGCCCTCCTTTTTTGCCATACAGCGAGCAAAACCGGTTTCTTCTTGGCGAATTTTGCACCAGCAGCAGGAGCAGCACAGGAATATTAATCAATCACTCCAAAACTATATGTATGTAATAGGAATAAGTTAAAATAGCCACAAAAAGTGGACGACAGAGTTCATTGAAACTAAATTATGATTCCATTTCGTGTCAAAATTTAGCTAAAATTTTCTTAATGAGAAATAAAAGGGGTACGCGTGGAAAATTTTCGTAAAATCATGTCATTTTTGGCATAAATTTAGTTGCCAAATTTTGACAAATTTTCATAAAAGTTTTGCTGGAAAAGGATAAGATTCCAGTTCGTGTCAAAATTTTCATTACAAGACGTATACAAATTTCGTTCGCAAATTGACCATAAATTTTGCGAAATTTTTGCAAATTTTTTACTGGAAGTGGATAAAATTTTGGGCACAGATTTACCAACCAAATAGCCTTTATAATATCGTTAATTAAATTAAATACGTGAGTAAACCCATTAAAGAAAAAAGAAATGATTCCATTTCGTGTCAAAATTTAGCCAAAATTTTCATAATAAGAAACAAAATGCGTAAACATTTCACAAATTTCGCTTGTAAATTGAGTCGGCAAGTTTTGCCAAATTTTGGCAAAACTTTACCTACAAAAGTGCAACCTTCTGGGCGCAAATTTACCCAGTCATGTAAGCATATTATTTCACAAGATTTTGACCAAATACGTGAGTACGCCCATTAAAATTATTAATCTTTCATGCCAAAAATAAACCTCGTGATGGAATAAGTTTCCGTCTGGAAGTGAAATTGACGAGTCTTACATTTCCATGCGAAATTGGTTATTAACAAAGTTTCAGACAACTCAAATGCATTCACGATTCGTCGAAATCAATACAATTAACTGAAGAAAAATACAGTTTTTTTTAAATAATTCTAAGTAATATTTTGTATGTTATTAAAAGTTTAATAAAGATGAATAACGAGTTTAACAATGTTGGTTATACACAGTGGCCCCGGAACCTTTAGGGGGCAGGGGGACAATGTCCCCACGGTTGTTCGGTGTCCGCATCATCTCCCCATCTTATATAAATCCGGCCCAACTATATCCTACAATGTCCCCCGATGTCCCCACGGCTTACGCGGTCACTGGTTATTATGGGCAATCTCATATTTTGGCTCAAGTGCAAAAATCTGAACAGTTTTTTTTTGCAGAAATTTGGCCCAATTTTCTGCACAAAACCTTTATGCAAAACGAATTTTTGTACAGCAAACCATGCAAAATTAGGCTACACAAATTTTTGGCAGAGTTATGTACCAAAAATTATGCAAAATCCGATAGCTTTTGTCGATTACTGACAAAACCTTTATGCAGAGCGAATTTTTGTGCAGAAAAGGATGCAAAATTAATCACCAGAAATTTTCGGGAGGGTTATGTACCAAAAATTAAGCAAAATATATACATTATGCATCCAGCTTTTGTCGATTAGTGCAGAATTCGACACAATAATTTCATAGGAATTTCATACTATAGGAAACAAATTATAGAAATGAGATGGCACATATTTAGTACTGCATAACCACCACCGACCATCGTAAACCATACAAAAGTAACCCTACAAAATTAAACTTTCAATCGTACACGCTAATTTTTTCCCTTAATTGAATTGGCTTCGATTAGAATTTGATTAGTTTGAAAACTTTGCAGGAGCAGGGGTAGCAGCCACACAAGCAAAAGGAGCCCATGCTTCTCGATTTCCTTCCCAATGACGACGACGACAAGGAAGACGAAAACTTTCTCATTTTCCATTTCATGAACCTCCTGCATGCAAAATACTGAGTCATCGATACATACTTGAAGACGCAGAAGGGACGGCTCTCAGAGGATGCGAGCAGATTTTGGGCCAAATCGATGACAAATTTAGTTAGTATGAAATTTGCGAAAGATATGATCTCCCAATGGGCACGTTTGGCAGAGATATTTGCATCCGAAGAGGAGAAAACGCGCAATAAAGTCGACAAATTTACGCTTTTCAAATTTATGTGAGGGTTTCTCCTTTTTGGATGCAAATTGTGCCAAACGTGTCCATTGGGAAATCGTGCTATTTGAAAATTTCGTGCTAATTAAATTTGCGGTCAATTGACACTAATTTCGTCAAAATCTGCGATCAAACTAGTGCCAATCGATAGCAAATTAAATTAGTATGAAATTTGCGAAAGACACGACCTCCAAATGGGCACGTTTGGCCAAGATATTTGCATCCCAAGAGGAGAAAACACGCAGAAAATTTGGAAAGTGTAAAATTTGTCGACTTTACTGCGCGTTTTCTCCTCTTCGGATGCAAATATCTCGGCCAAACGTGCCCATTGGGAGATCGTGTCTTTCCCAAATTTCATACTAACCAAATTTGTCATCGATTGGGACTAATTTCCCCAAAATCTGAGAGCATCCGCTGGTTGACGTCCCTTGTCCGGATTTCATTACATTTTCACAATGCTGGTCGGAAACTGCTACACGGAAAACAAGGCTTGTTACCACACACATTTCGTATTAGATTACATTACATACGTGCATGCACACAAGAGCGGAGGGAGAAACCCACTTGTCATGTTTACAAGCTTAAAGTAAAGTCTGTTACGGAAAGATAAAGCCCGAGGACAATAAGTAGCTTGAAATTGAGACGACCGTTTTCTACTCGGCGAAAATCCTTCGGCCTCAGTGCAGAGTTGTACGATGGGCAGGACGTGGAAATTGAGGCCCAACATTTTTTACGAATTTTTTTTGCATTTTTTATCACAGTGGCGTTATGAATTTTAAAATACATTTGGCATTTTAGGCATGGAAATAAATTCATGAACTATTTGACGTGACACTAAATTCCTGGCAGTTTGGACATGAAAATAAATTCATAGACGTGTTGCCATGCATTAAATTCCTGGCATTTTGGGCATGAAAATAAACAACCTAGATTTTTTCGAAATTTTTCACGTAAAAACAAATTCCCCTTATTGCCATAAATTTATAGCAAACAGATATACCTAAAATTTAAATTTAACCGAGTAAAACACCCAACATGACATCGCCACCCGTACAACTCTAGGCATCATTCTTGCCATGAATTTTCATCAAGCTGTACTTTACTTTTTAGTCACTTTGTATCTACGTATACAAGTTCGGGATCTCGGAAACAAGAAGACGAGCCGTCATGCATCCGTCCGCCCACCCACAAATCCTAAACCGACCACTTTCTGAATACAAATTCCCCCAAAAAGAACAAAACTTTAGTCAAAAGTACAAGCACCTAAGCAGTGGCCGCGGAAGACGTGGGGACATCGGGGGACATTAACATTGTAGGATAATAGAGGATGGCCGGGTTTATATAAGATGGGGAGATGATGCCGACATCGAACAACCGTGGGGATATTAATTGCCCCTCTGTCCCCTCACACCCTTCCGCGGCCACTGGTTCTAAATGCGAGATTTGGATTGTCCATTTCAAATTGACACTGTAAATTGACACTTGAACTTATATAAGAAATAAAAGCCTACATTATGCCGTCATATGGATGGAAAGTTACGCAAATTTCGTCAAGTGTCACACATGACGGGTTATGACGATAACGGTGACGATGACGATGCGGAGGTTGACAATACATACATAAGAGAATCGTTTAATTGTCAGGACGAATCATGGGTTATCAATGGTTACTTATCTGACCCTGAATTCAGACAAGGTTGCGTTATGTATACATGTTTGTCCCTTATAATAAAAGAGTGATAAACAAAGTGGAGATTTCTTCACATCGTGAAATCAACCACTCTTGAAGGTTTTTGACTATTTATACAATTACGCGAACGTGAGTGGGTGACAATAAATGAGATTTTGTAACAGTGGCGGATTATTTTTTTGACAAAGTGTACATTTTTTGAGGATGTGAAGTGAATGAAAAACCATTTCCTTACAGGGTACGTACGTTAGCCCGAGTCGGAGTGAAGGAGGTTTTTTAGTCAGTATTTTTCGAAATCAGTTAAAATCTCGGAAAACATGGAAAATTAGAAAATCAAGTAAAAAATCATACGTATTTGATGGGTACAATCCATTTTGAACACAATTTTTCTAAACTTTTTCTAAAATAAGTTCTAGAAACATATATTTAATATTGATTATATGGGGGACATTTTGTCAAATTCAAATACTTTTTTTAAAATTCTATCCAATTAAAAAATTTAGAATAGAATTTTTTCAGGGAAAAAGTATTTTCATCAAAATTTATGAAATACTACTTACGAATTTACAAAAATGACTGAAATCCTTATTCATTATATTTGTGACAACTGCGAAATATTGAGGCTATTCACGCAGTCATTTGTAACTCGTAAAATCCGTGGTTGTTACAAATTTTTACACAGTAAAGAGATGCTGCCCTTGATCTGAGCAAGTTTACAAAAATTTGTGAGCCTAATTTTCCTCAAAAATATGAGTCAAATTTTGTAAAATTTTGTAATTTTAGAGTATTTATAGATTTTCAAATGTTACCAAGGCTTGCGTGAATTGAAATTTTTAACTTTACAAGAGTAATGATAAGGAAAAAATTGCGGTTTCTGTCGTACATGCAGATTCTGCCATTGTGTGTATCAACTAAGCTATTCCGCACTATTCTCACCTCGCACTTTTTTATGCCATCCTTATTTCAAAGATTTAAGCCTGCGGCGAAATCTTATTCTATTTTAGAATCTATTCAAAAGGTATTAAGAAGCAGAAGTTGGTCAGTGGGGTAGTAGAAACCTCGTCTCAAATAAATCTGCATCGTCTCCCCTCACAATGACGCTACCACAGCCATTTGCATGCATACATATTTGCTCGTCCCTCTGTGTGATGGTCTATTCTATTCTTGCTATTTGCTCATTATTTAGCACGTTTTAAGGGAAGAATTACTTTCGTTTGGTTTATTTTGGGTGCATGCTTTTGAGATTTGTAAAATGCAACAGACTTTACAAACACCTGTAGAAAGTAAAATTTCAAATAAAAAAAGTTTGGGAACTGATTTTCATTCTTTGATCTAAAAAATGAGGAGATTCTTGACCTTTGTTTCGTATTTTGTGTTGTAACACAATGACGTAAATTCACGCAGGCCTTGGAAACTTTGTAAAATCCGTAAACTTGTAAATTTTTACAAAATTTTAGAAATATTTCCAAGGAAAATTAGCTTCCAAATTTATGCTTAGATCAAGGGCAGCGTGTCTTTATTTTGTGAAATTTTATAAAATTATGATGAAAAACGCATGGATTTTACAAAGCTACAAATTATTACGTGAATTCTTTTAGACTGCGACAAGTTTTATTTATAAAAACAAGGCCAAATTTCTATTCATGAATTTAAAAAGACATACATATTTCAGTTAAAAAACAGTAATGTTTCGTAAATATTGTACCGTTTTTCCTTTTTAAATAATCATTTATCAGGTGGGACATCATTCTTATCAAAATTCCCCCCCAAAAAAATCTACATAGTCATATTCTACGCAACAATTTACATACTTTAAGAGGAGGAGGAAGTTAGTGAAATTTGTGCGACAGAGACATTAGTGCGGAGCAGCCTAAGAAATTACCTGTACCGTTATTACCTATGCACATACCTCCATATAATCAACAGAACACGCCAATTCCTCAGGTGTTGTAACGTTAAGAAAAACCTTGTGCATTTCATAACCACGCCATAATAATTTCACCACCACCACCACCACTGTTTCAACCTGTGTATTGTTATATTGTACGTATGTAGAAATACAGCGTAACGAATCTTGTAAAAAAAATAGTTTAAAAAAGTTACAAAATAAAAATTGATCAAAAAATTTCTCAAGCAGAACTCGTGTAAAAGAATAAAATGCAGCGTGGAATGAATGAATAAAAGCGTGGCTCAAATTTCGAGAAGGAAGTTGAGTCGAAGACAAAATTCGTATCTTATTATTTATCAAATAAAACTCTCTCAAATTGCGTTATGCTTGATAAGTGTGGAGTTAAAAAGAATGGTTAGAATTGGTAAATTTATATACTTGGTGGAGGAGATATCAGTTCAGTTCAGGTCGTTATATTAACTGTAATCTGTCAACTATTATCAATTATCTATTTACCTGTCGAGTAAAATGTATGGGAAGGATAAGCTTGAAAAAAGTGCAGTTTTTCGTCCAGAAGCGTTACATTACAGTGCATGTAACGAAGGGGTGAAACTAGACGACAAAATGAATGCTGTTTTTGTTCATAGAAATTCTGTTAAAATTGACGGGTCTGTCGTGTTTTTAGAGATTTGTGACCTTTGACCTCGTCCACACGGTCAAAATAACTTATTCTGTTAGATAAGTCTTCGAAATATTTTCAATTACAGTCCTCACATGATGTTCAAATTTAAGAAAATCATGACCTATGACCTTACTGACGCCGTGACCTTGTGACCTACAGGGCCCATTTTCTAATCAGGTCTGACCCTTGTGGTTATGAAGTTAAGTTCAAAGTTTCAAATCTGTGCGCCGTTCCGTTCACGAGTTATCGGACAGACAGACAGACAGATGAACGGACGGACATAACGATCTTATAAAGTGGTACTAAAATTCTATATATATATATTTTTCAGACGACTTATCCATCCACTCGACTCTGGTCATTATTACGGTGTAATCGTTATTTTGTACAATTGTGGTGGTGATAAGGTGTCCATGGTTGACAATTGTCTGCAGGTAAATAGATCGTACCTACCGAAAGTACATGCATACAATTTGGTCGTGTTGAGACCAGATGGGTTTCACGTGCTGGGGACACACACACTCCACTAAAAAAAGTGTGATTATTATGTAATAAAATTAAATATTGATGGGAGACCATTAGTTTTGTCACCGCGTGTCAAACAGGAAATGGGAAAGAGAGCTTTTTTGTGTTCTTTTAAAACATGGAATGGAGTGATTTTGTGTCTTATCCACCCACGAGAACTATGACGTATGTACTTATTTGTACATTAAAATATGAAATTTTGAGACAAAAATATTTTCTGAAAAAACATGTAACTGAGAAAATTCAAGTGAAATGCGTCTTTCAAAAATTCCTCAATTTTCAGTACAATGATCACACAAACTTCATAAACTGCATAACTGTCTCAATTTTGCACTAAAAACTTGATATTTCCAACTTGTCCTCCAAAAAGCCCAACATTTGTACCCCAAAAACACGACATTTTCCAATTTTTTTCCCAAAATACAACGTTTCACGTCAAAAACACGATATTTCCAACTTGACCCCCAAAAACACGACGTGTTCACCCCAAAAACACGATATTTTCAACTTGGCCCCCAAACACACGACGTTTTCAGCCCAAAAAAGCACGATAGTTTCAATTTGTCCCCCCAAAACTCCACATTTCCAATCTGTCCCCCAACATTTTCACCACCTCATCTCAAACCAATCTTATAAATCAAAAACCTTCCCCAAAAAAAATCCCCCCCTCAAACTCACCTGAATTATTCGTATCCATCTTCCCCCTCCCCTTCTCACTGAGGGGATTGCCCCCCTCCTGTGAAAACAGTAGTAGTGGAAAAATCCCACTCAACCCGACCAGCAAACACCCCCCAATGGACATGACCCACTTGGGATAGTCGACCGACACCTTGGCGACGACTTCGGCGATCAGCTGATCATACAGAACCGTGGCGTTGGACACATTTTCAAAAAATCCTGGCCAGTAGAAGGTCGACGAATTGTTGAAGTAGTCCATGGCCAGGTTGCCCTGTGGGAATGGGAGAGCCATCGTCTCTTCGATTATCAGCAGGACAATTATTAATCAGGACAAACTCCACTTCACTTCAAACTTCACTCCACCGAAAAAATTAGTGATAGCAACTTTGTCAATTAATTTGTGATCGACACCCCGTCGGCTGGCTGATGATGACACTAAAAAGTCGTATTTATTATTGGATACACTCAACAAAACAATGAAACAATACCTACATTTTAGGACACGCTAAACAATACAGTCGTTAAGAAAGTTCTCTCTCTCTTCTCGGGTCACCTTGAACCATTAGAAATTTGCGAAAACTATTAATTGCGCAAAAATTATTTGACACTGATGCTGGACTGACAGGAAGTGCTAATAATTCGCTCTCCGATCAACAAATTGATGAGACTCGAGTGAAATTTATTGTCCCACTTGAACAACAGCATCTTCCTCGCGGACATGGCGAATGGGAAAAATTGGCGAAATTTGACACCACCACGGCTGTCAGTCTGGGACAGGATCTCTCATCAAACTAAACTGCAACTCGGCTGGGTCCCTCTGTTTTAATGAAACTGATGATCAGAAAGACAGCCCAGTTGTTATTCAAGTCGTGGAGTGGATTGGATTTGACGAAATCATTGTGAACGACGAAACAATGATATCTCTTCTTCATGTTCATAGTCATGACTGATTATTAGTATTTATTGTACATTTATTTGGTGACTGCTAAGTTAAACTTAAATAAATATGATGAGAGTTCAATATTTCAATCCAGCGGAAAAAAATTAGTTTCTGATAAGACGACAACTTTTATGATGACATGTTTGCCATCCATCCATGACACAGGCTAGTCTTTGTCTCTTTTTGGTATAATAAACGCTGCGTCCACACTTTTGTCCATCCACATACACAATGTCACTTTACCTTACACTCTTAGAAAATTCAATATCTTTTCATGAAGTAAAATGGAACGTTATGCGGTTTAAAGTAAACCTCACTTGATTCGAAGTAAAATGGTCAACTTCATTCAAAGTAATGACAAAACTCACCAAATGTGAAGTAAAACCACTATTTTCTAAACCATAAAGTAAGCTATTATACCATTTAGAGTAAGCAAACCCCATTTAGGATATTCTTCAGACGCTGACTTTTCCCTCGCTCTCATTACAACTCGCAACTCAGCCAGTCAGTGCTGGTTAGTTAAATTGATAGTTAATTAATTAGTTAGTTAACTCATAAGCAAATAATGGAGGAAACGAGGAGGTTATTGCAACAATTTGGACGGGGACGCTGAAGGGTAAGAAATTCGCACAATTTGCATAATTTATACACAAATTTAATTTACATTGCGTTTAATTTTTTATTTTAATTGTCTTTAAACAGATGACGATATTACGGACGAGACTCTGTTAATAATTTCAGGAGAAAATTGTCAGGTTTTCTAGGTCATTTTAGGTCGGCTTTGGAATGCATTGTACAATTTGTGAGAACTTGGTATATCTTTGTTTTAAGTGCAAAACTAATTTTAAACCTTTAGTATAACATTAAAAAAATTATCTTAAGTTAATAGGGTCCAGCGTTTACAAATATCCTCACTAGTGGTTCATAATAAGGGTAATTTGTAATGCAATGTTGAATGTGAAATAAAATATATTATTAAAGTACTAATACTGCGACTACGCTTAAGTAACTTTTCCTGGGGTCATCAAAGCAAGAAAGTAAAGTCATAATCAACGCGATTTAGGGTTACGGTCGTTACCCTATTGGGCGCTCAGTTACCCTGTGAATATTGTTACAGGGTAAAATGGCTTACTTTGTGGCCGAGAGAGAGCGATTCGCTATAAGTGGGGTAGTGGCACTTTGGAAGTTATATCGAGTTATATTTTACGTCATATAAAGTATGGATTTCTAAGAGTGTATCACTTTTATAATATCGAAAATTTATAGAGGTTTTGATTTACGACGACACTTTTAGGTGGTGGTGAGGATGATATCAACTAATTAATTATTTGAGGAGTAAACAAACCCCAAAATTAGAGGTAGATAGATTTGATATACACGAATTTTTGTCCTTTTTTGACTCCAAAGTCAAGATTATGACTTCTTTTTTTGGGACAAAATAACTTTGAAAAAGTCCAAATTTCCTACATTTCTGCCACCTCGACGTCTGCTGAGTGAATCCTTTCTGACCAGATTCTTGCACTTTTCTTCATATAAAATAATGTGGAAAGTAGCAAAATTGTGAATTGGAGAACCAGTTTTAAAATGTGAACCCATCCGTGGCACGAAGAACGACTATATAGCGAGGTTTTCAAAATTGTTCAACAAGTTTTCCACTGCAGATTCATATTCCATGCATGCAAGCAAGGAGGCCTTTTCGTATTAAATAATGTGTCGAATCAGCACTTTATATGTGCACAGACTGCTTTTCTTTCTTGTGTATATTTATCAACAAAATACACACATGCAACCAACGCATCCTGAATGAACGGAATGACTACGTGCAAGTTAAGAGAGAGACGAGACGACTAAAGTTTTAAAGATTTTCGTCCTCCTCTTCGTATTACAAGAAGTAAACGAGTATATCAACAAAGTGGTATGGATGGTGGTGTTAAAGAGAGACGAAAATATGTACGAGGAAGCAGTGGCCGCGGAAGCCGTGGGGGGGGGGGGACAGAGGGTTTAAATGTCCCCAGGGTTGTCGGAATCATCTACCCATCTTACACGTATAAACCCGGTCCTCCCCCATCCTAATGCAGTGTTAATGTCCCCACAGCTTCCGCGGCCACTGCCAGAGTTGTATTTGTGTATGTATAGTTAGTGGCCGCGGAAGGGTGTGGACAGAGGGGCAATGTCCCCCGGTTGTTCGATGTCTGCATCATCTACCCATCTTGTATAAACCCGGCCCCTTCCCCCTTATCTTACAATGTTAATGTCCCCAAATGTCCCCACAGCTTCCGCGGCCACTGTGGACAAGCAAGTAAAGCTCAATATAAATAAAGTCCTATCCAATCCACCCTCAAGAAGAAGAGGAAGAAGAAGTGTCATATAACGAGACGAAATAAATAACGGGATCCTTGCAACAAGAGAATGCACGAGAATGGATGGATGGATGGATGGATAATCCACCCTTTATTAAAGCTAAATAGCTAACTTGACGTTGAGAATATGTGGCACAAATATAGAGATATTTATTTACTTGTTGAATTTTAGTCAATTTGACAAAAATGGTTGAAACGAATGGTTAGGTAGTTAGTTCAGTGGAGTGGAGCGAGAGGAATTTGAGACTATAAATATTTACGTACTAGGGATATGTGTCGATGTTGTGCTATGTTATGAAAAATCAAGGAAATATGTGCCTAATATTTAGAAAATGTATTTATTAATTTTCGAAATTTTTTTGTCGAGGAAATTATTATTTTCAGTTAAATATTTTTATCACCTTTTTTTCTTTCAGTTAAAAAAATATTTAGTTATCTAGCTTAAAATATTGAAGAAAATTGGCGACATATTTGCACACTTTTAAAATAATAGCTGCGAAAATAGTGAGTAATATTTAGAAATGTGAGTTATGGAATATTAGTTACACACCACAAAATTTGACAGTCGTGCGTCTTCATGAAATGACACAAAAAAATGTCCTCTGTATTACGAACTTAATGGAAGGATAAACTTTAAACGATTTTTATGACGGATTAAACTTAACTTGCTTAGGTAGTCAGAGATGCGGTCAATTTAAGTAATATCAAAGTCATTACTACCTACGAATATTTGCCCTCAATATTTTATTCACAAGTTTATATGAGTAAGATATGCACATGGATGGATTGATTTCCACAGGCATTGATTGTCAATAAGAAGAACAGAATGTGAACAAGGCCGGATGTGTATTTATTTACGAAAAAATCGCTGAAATACGCATTTTTAATATTCACGGAAAAAACGTCAAAATATTTACGATATTGCATATACGAACAAAATCATAAAAATGCGAATTTTCACTAAATTTGTAATTTTAGAATTATCTGAATTTTAAATTCGTTTCTCACATCATTAAAATATTTACAAGATATGTAACGGATTTATGTATTTTTCAAATAACAGCGAAAATATAAGTAGAAAAGTGTTAAGACATATTCTGAAATTTTTGTGATTTTACGACCACACCCACAAAACTTGACCGGTCATGAAATGAAAAATTTGGAAATAAATACATAACCGGCCTCTGACCCTGACAGAACGGAACACACGATATGAACAATTCCATTTATTTATTATGCAAAGCAGCATTTTATTTATGAGGGGTTTGATTAATTTGACTTTGCAGAAGCTACATGCGTACATGAAACTATTAAATACATGGATAATTTTGCAGAACGAGGGCTCAGCAGAATTTCGGGAGGTTTCATCCAGAATACAAAAATAAATTAGTCAGAGAACGACCACGGACACGCGGACATTATTTATTATTTATTGGGCGACATGTGTTTACTGCTGATCAAGTAATTAATAAATTTATATACTTTTCAAATTATATGCAGATTTTTGTTTACAAAATTCTAATTAAACCATGTACAATTTTAAAGACTGAATTTTGGGCATTTTTTAAATTTTGGGCATGCGAAGTTTCTTATTAATGGCGATTTTTGTTTTCAAAATTTTATTAGAAAAGTGCGCAATTTAATTTGGTTGAATGAATTTTGGGCAATTTCTGACATTTCGGGCATAAATTTCTTATTAATGCAGACTTTTGTTTATAACATTCTAATTAGACCATGCAGAATTTAATTTAATTGCACAATAAATTTGGAAGTTTTGGAAACTTTTGGGATAAGTTTCCTATTATAATATTGACCTTAAAAATTTACATGTGTGGCAAATATCACAAAACAGTCGCAAATTCCTTGCGTAAGTATAACTCCACATTTAATTAATGATGTTATTTTCCACTAATTATATCATTTCTCTGAAGAGCAGGCATTCAAGGTATGAATTTTACGATGGGACGATACTGCATAAAGGACGTATACAATTCCAAGAATTTACGCATGCATGCAAATATAATCATGATTCCAAGAATTTCGTCCCTAATGAGATGTTCGCAAACAATGCGAATTCATGTACAATGTAATCCATCCAAATAAAAATACTTTCCATGATGAATTCGCATACTGTGACAAAACCAGTTTTGTTCTTTTGATCGAACTCCTCCTGTTCTGATTGCTTTGCTTAAGAATTTCATACATTTGTAAATGCTTCGTTTCTTGCGGATTTTCTAACATTTCTTGCAGTGCAAAGGAAGAAACGGGAGAAATGTGAGGTGCAAGAAAGTGGGAGAAAATGCATGAAATATGCGCCACGTAGCCACCCCGCCGTATGAAATATTTATAGCGGAGGGGCCTAGTTTTTTGTGCCCTGCATTTCTTGAAGATCAAAATATTCACCTGCAAAAAACCACTTTCTCCCTCCCATTATTTCTTGCACGTGGTTTCTTGCGGGTTTGCTAAGCACCTTTCTTGCACTGGAAAGCAAGCAAAAAAAATGGTGAAAAAGGTGCAAAAAACTGCAAGAAATTAGAAGAAATATGCCCCACACGGAATAGGCTCGTAGTTTCGTGCACCTTGCATTTCTCCCAGGTCAAAATATTCACCTGCAAGAAACCACTTTTTTGCAAGTGGTTACTTCCACCTGAAACACTGCACAAAAGTAACAAAAAAGTGCTACACATATACGTGACCAAGCATGCCCCAAATTAATCCATCCATGTGTCCTCTTCATTTTTTGTCAACTTTTACTTGATCGAATCATCATGCCATTCCGCGAAGAGGGAAAGTATTGATACATAAAATAATGGAAAAAAACGACGAATGAGGATGGATAGACAGACCGAGAGACGAGTGTCGTGTCAAAAATTTCGACCGCTGTATACGTACGTTATGCAATCCAATACATATCCTCTCGATGGATATACATAGAAAAAGAACAAGAAGAAGTGGGGAAAATCGCACAGCTATTTTTAGAAGGCTGAAATTTCAACGCTAAACTAAACCAAGTAGGAAAAAAATCCAGTGCAGTCACACGAAGCACCTTTTTTCCTACATGTCTCCGAACCTACATAAATACCCATACGAAACTGTCTCGAACATGTCTTGTTTTAAGACTGTTTTATCAATGGCATTAAAAACCGTAGTCATTCTTTCTTCATCCTGGTTCTCCCATCCCCTCATTCGCTTCTCCATTATTATTATTACCCGGCCTGGGCAACACTACTCGTTAAGTTAAGTGAGCCATATACCTCGCCTTTGTCCCAGCACCAGTAAAAGACCACGACGATAATAAAGTTGCGAAAAAGAAAGAATGTCTTGAAAAATCCGAACGAAATCGGCGGAAATTTTGCAAATGTAGGGAGTGGAGGTGGTGGTGGTGGTAAGATAAGCTGCGGTGTGTGTGGAGGGGTGGTGGATTGGATAAGCTTACTAGTGGGGGGCAAGATTTGAGTCGGTGGGGACAGGATTTTAGTCAGGGTGGCAAGATTTCTGTGGGGACATAATTTTTTTCATCTCGAGAGGTGACGGATTTACCGAGTAATTTGCCAACCACGCCGTTTCTGCGATGGAGGTAAGTGATTAAGTTCAGAGATTGAATTTGCGATTTGCGGTCTGATGGCGTCATTTTGTGTGTGTTTGGATAGGTGTGGGGACAGTTAGCTCAGGTGCAGGAGGCGCAAGCACTGTTTGGACAGGACGAGGGCACCAAGCGGTTTCGCACGGTGGGTAAATACGCCTTTGTAACGAAGCCAATTATGCAAAATTTGTATTGGCGAAATCCAATATTTTTGCAAAATAATTGTATCTATGGATGAATTACACATAAGCGAATTTGTAGAAATGATGTAATGATTTCTCCCCGAACAATTGACACAATTTTTCGCAAATGATGAACACAATTAAAGTTAATTGTGTACATATTTAATTACATTTTTTTTATTATAGACAATTGATAAACTGCCGGATAAAGTTCTTTTAACGATTTTCACCTATTTGCCCCACCGGGAGGTGTGCCGGTTGGCGAGAACGTGTAAAAAATGGCGAAACATTGCGTACGACACGCGGCTCTGGAGTCATGTGTCACTCCGACCGGAAATCTCGGGATTGCACGTGACCTCGATGGACTTTCTACTGCATCTCATCAGGTGGGAGATGGTTATGCAGCATTTATGACCACGTGTTTGGATACTTTTTTGGGCAAAAAATTTGCTTAGCAGGCAAAACTGTTATGTTCTTATCTGCTATGTTGGTCAGCCTCTTCTTTCCAAGGGATGTGGGGACATTGGGGAGAATAATGTCCTCTTAGGAATTTCCTGTCCTTGCAATCAGTGCCTCGTACCTTACGATTTCTTGTAGCGCAAACAAAGAAATGCAGGAAATGCGAGGTGCAAGAAACTGGGAGAAAATGCAAGAAATAAGCGCATTCTAGCCATGTACCGTATGAAGTCTTTACACCTGCGGGGCCTAGTTTCTTGCACCTTACATTTCTCCCAGGTCATAATATTTACCTGTAAAAAACCACTTTCTTGCAACTGAAAGCACGTGAAACACTGGCTGCAATGTTATTATCCCCAGTTTTCCACAACCCTGGTCCGTCCGTCCACGGCTAATTTCAAGTGCATGCATGCTACTTAATTTGGCGCACCTGAGTCGTGTCACGTCTCCAAAATTAGTACTACATTTAGATCGATTGATCCATATCTTGATAAGGAAACGAATTATTATTACATAATCATTATCTAATTATTGTTCTATTTTCAATTCAATTAGTCAACGGTTCAGCCAATCTCTGCGCTACCTGGAGCTGCCCATGGAGCTCATTACACACACCGTGCTGCACGAATTGGCCAGCAAGTGCCCCAACTTGACCCACGTCTTGCTCGACTTCTCCACCGCGATGCAGCTCCACGACTTTAATGATATGCAGGTACATGATAAGCCATTGGCCGCGGAAGGGTGTGTGGGGACAGAGGGACAATCCTACAATCTTGATGTCCCCACTGCTTCCGCGGCCACTGAATAAATCAGATTGGAAATGAAATTGATGGGTTAAAATAGAATTGGATGACTCAAAATTGTCAAAATTAACACATTTTTAATCATTTCTCGCCTCTGGGAAATTGTTTTAAATTTCTGGAAATCCAAATTTGTCCTCAGTGAGTTGATTGATGGAATGGTGTCGAGTTTTTTAAGCGAGTTTCGACGAGTCCCAATTTTTCTGAAGGTTCCTTAAACCTGAGATCTCCTCCTCCAAAAAGTGTCAAAATCTGGAGTGCATATTTTCAAAAAATTGGGAACTCCCTGCTCTACAAATTTGTCGTTCAGAATTTTTTAATAAATTCCCAGAGCGGAAAAATGATTAAAAACGTGCTAATTTTGTGGTTAAATTTGGCATCTTATTAACATAAAAAAATCTTTTCCAGGCGTTTCCCACCAAACTCCGCTACATGTGCATCTGCCTGTCCGAGGTCATCTTCATGGAGGGGTTTATGCGGAAAATTTACAATTTTATTAACGGCGTGGAAATTTTACATTTAATCGGCACCTACGAAAAAGTGGAGGAGGAAGAAGAGGAAATTTACGAAGTTATCAATATTCACAAGTTGAAAGCCGCCACGCCCAATTTACGCGTCGTCAACTTGTACGGCATCAATTTTGTGGATGACTCACACATCGAAGCTTTCAGCTCTAATTGCATTCAGGTAAATTCGTTTCCGGAAACAAAAAAAAATCTGTAAATTTTGAACAATAGTAATTTCGAAATTTTGAAACTTCCAGTTGGAATGTTTAGCTGTCAACTACTGCGCCAAAGTGACGGGTTCCTCTTTGACCACGTTATTCCAACGGTGTCGAAAATTAAAGACATTGCTCATGAATCAGACAAGTACTTATCTCAAACGAAAATTTTAATTTTCAAAATTTTGAATTTCAAAAATTACAAAATTTGAATTTTTTTAAGGTTTGCAAAGTGAACATGTGATGGCTGTGGATTGGGAGAAATCGCAGCTTCAAGAATTGGATATTACCGCAACGGACTTATCGACGGAGTGTTTAACGGATTTGTTGACACGAATTCCAGCCTTGCGATGGTTATCGGCCGGGCAACAGGACGGCTTCAATGATTCGGTGGGTTTTTTGGGAAAGTTTCCCATGGAAAATTTCGAATTTTGAAAATTTGGTTTTCAGGTTTTACGAGCTTTCAGTGAACGAGGAAATGCCAAACATCTCGTTTCGTTGGATCTGGACGCGCTGGACAACTTGTCAGAAGAAGCACTACTCAAATTCATTAACAAGTTTGGAACCCAGTTTCGTGGCATTTGCTTATCCGGAATGCCACACATTACGGATCAGTTGTGGGTCTCGGTCCTTCCCTTGCTAAAAAATGCCAAGTGAGTTCGTAGGGTAATGATTCATAAGCAGAGGGCGGATTTGTATTTATTTTCAACTTTTTCACTTGATGACGACCGGTGGCCAAACTTTGTGCGTGCTGCCAAACTCGTTTAGATCACGGAAATTTCAAAACATTTTTTTTTTTTTTTTTTACATATTTCTAGGTTTTAAGGCATGTAAACATTTCTGCTATTATGCTAAAAATACGTAAATCCTTTAGATATATATTTTTTAATACACTTATTAAGTTTTGTAAATATCTCAACGCATTTTTCTTGCTAAAAAAAATTGGACCCAAAAAATCCAGAGAATTTAATTATATAACAACCACACATTTTTCGAAAATTCTTATTTTTATTTTTTCGTGCAAATTTCATAAATATTTTGGTGTTTTTTCCTTAGCATATTTCAGGGATTTTTCATAAATACATAACCGCCCTCTAGTTATAATATAGGGGGGAAATCCGGGGGGAATTTTCTGTAGTAAATGCTGAAATTCTCCATGCAGAAATGAGCATAAATACAACACTAATCAAAATTTATATTAATATTACCCTCATCTTAAAAATCTCTGCAGAATTTTAGTGATGGGAACGATGGACCGATTATCCACCAAAATCCACGTGGATCAACTCATGGATACGATTGCTCATAACTGTGCTATTTTGGAACGATTAGAATTACGCTGGGATCCGGAAGCCTTACGATTTTCGGACAAGGGACAAAAAGCGATTGATATTATTAGAGTCCGCTGCTTAAAGTTGAGCTGTCTCGTTCTCACGTAAGGAAATAATTTTCAAAATAAGTTCCCATCAAAATTTCCGAAGAATTTTATTTTTTTCGCGTTTTTCTTCTCAGGGATGGACGTTACTATGAAATCGTGAAAGCCAACTTTGACCGTGCCGACAGAAACACGGTGGTCCGAACGACGACCAATTGCCGCGTGTCGACCAGCTACCTACTAAATTTTTATAAAGAATTACTTTTCAATTGATACATAATTTTGCTCCAGAAACATAAACATGAAGAAAATCCTTTTCAAATCGTTCTCATTTTAAGACATGTTAAATTAAAATATGCTATAAATCTCTGCCATGTAATAATTAAATTAATACCACGTGCGTACATAAATAATAATAATAAGTAATGATTTCCAATTTATGTCCACGTTGATAACCAATTAAGAGCAGTGGCCGCGGAAGGAAGAGTGTGGACAGAGGGACAATGTCCCCACGGTTATTCGGTGTCCGCATCATCTGACGTCTTATATAGACCTCTCCCTCCCCTACTTCCTACAATGTGAATGTCCCCCAGATGTCCCCACGACTTCCGCGGCCACTGATTAAGAGAGAGAGGACCCAGAAAGTTCAAGAATACACAGATTGTGTTCTCTTTATATATAATTTTGTCTTATAAATGTGTACTTACTACGATTCAGGGGGTGCAGAACGGTGGGGACAATGCGTATGTATGAACAATAATATTGTCCCCAAATGAGAACAATAATGTCCCCCAAATTCCTTACTGTCCCCACACTGTTTCTCATCGTTCTGCCACCTCTGTAAATAAAATACTACATAATTGGTGACCAGGAAGTAAAAAAGGCGAAAAAATGGCACCACCACATACGTATTTACCCCCACTCCCCCCTCCCCCCACATAAATAATCCCCCCCCTCTTTATATATACACAGTACATTTAAGACAGAAGGAAACAAACCTTAATATTTATTTCCCCGTAGTAAGAAACACCTCCACAATTTTCATAATTAATACCTTTCTTCTCCAATAATTAATTATTACTGATTATTTATAATTATATATTGAAATTGCCGAAAATGTTGTGAAATTCCTATCGAATGTGAGTGATCCACCCACCACCAAATAATATTTTGTCTCCTCCATGTCTTTCTGCACCAACGAAACCAAATAAAAATGGACATGAATGAAAACTTGGCGTGTTTCTTTGTCTCTCACGGCGTGTGGAGGGGACAGGGGGGCAATGTCCCCTCCGAAATTTTTACATGGGGACACCATATAATACATTTGCCCCCACGGTGCGGGGGATTTCCGTACAAAATCAGCCACCAATTCAAGTAATAAGTTAAAAATTATGTGTCACAAGTAATTAATTTCGCATATTTAGTTCCAATCCAATCAATTAAATTTGCGATTCAAATATGTAATTAATTTCCTAACAATCAACTTGATTTTAATTTTCTTCAAATTTTCATGAAAATTGTGTAACTTTCAGATTACAATACTGTAATCAAATTAATTGATTGATAAATATAATTTTTTTTTCAAAACCTAGATTTTTTTAACAAAATTTTCAGGTTTTGAAAAATTGGGGTTTATAATATGTTCCCACGGTCCAAATTATCTTCCTGCAGATATACTAATTACCAATTAATATTCTAGCAATCCAAGGAAGATTTTGATTTTCATGAAAATTTTCATGAAAATCTTTTAACTTTCAGACTACTATTACTTTATACTCTAATTTTCTTTCAAATCTTGGATTTAAAAAAGAAATTTCCAGGATTTGAAAAATACTAATGTCCCCACCCCCGGTCCAAATTATCTTCCGCGGCTACTGACTGCACTGCAGCTATAAATACTAATTAACCGATGTCGATCCACCCTCAATCTGACGACGATGTCAACGTCAACGTCCACCCGAGAAGTAATTGCGTCCCTTTATTTCCCCCCGGATTTGACGAGAGAGAGAGAAAGTTAAATTTGTGCTTGCTTTCTCTCCCGGGAGTCACGGCGCAGACGGGTCGACTTTCTCTCTTCACGGGGAAAGTACGACTCAAACTCAACTAAAGCAGTAAAAACCGAACAGGGCAGCAAAGCGAACCCGGGTTTTACTTATGATGGTAAAGTAAAACCCCTGCTGCTGCTGCTGCTGGTTGTGGTCGGGTTTTTGTACACGACGATAAGCAAATAAGTTCTTGAGACAACTTTCTCAGGGCCAACAGAGAGGAGGACAAGGCTGAAAAAAATCGGCTTAAAAAACTTGACTCTCTAAATATATTTAAAACCTTATTAATTAAAATAATTTACTAACTAAAATTAATTTGGCAATCCAAACAACGAAGAAGGAAACGGAACAAATTGTGTGACTTTTTTTAGTTTCTTAAAATATGTACATATTTTCAGTGAAAGGTGAACGATCATCCAGAATTTGAAGCGTAAGTTTCGTTTTTTATGCTTGTTTTTTTTGCGTAGGAAAATAAAATAAAAAAGTTTGTTAAATAAATAAATAAATAGCGTTAATCCACCCACCCACCGACCATTTTGCGATTGTATAATTCCTCTGTGCGTGCAGCATGACGTGACATTTAGTTATTTACGGAAAGAAGAATGTGAATGCGAGTTTGTAAATAAAAAGGGTTGAGATTTAGTGTTGTTTTGTAGACAGAATTTATTTACGTAAACGAAAATGTACGTGGTGGTGGTTTGGTTGGATTTTGGATTTTGAGGTACCTGTCGTCATGTTATTTTTAAAAAGGAGTAAGTAGCAGCTGGGCTGTGCTGTGCATTGACACCGTCCGTTCAAAGACTTGCGAAATACGAGGACGACGACGAATAATAAAGTTAATCCAGGTGGTGGTGTCATGTTATTTAGTGAAATTAGAGACAATTAAGTCGTTAAACAAAGTCGGGACGGGAAGAAAGTGTTGTTAGTTTTTAACTCTAAAGGTTTAAGACTTGCGAAATATTATTTGCGATGGATTGGATTTAATTTGTTGCCATCTTTAATCCAGGTGGCATTTAGTGAAATTAGAGACAATTAGTTAATACACGACTTGTGTAACAAAAAGTAAACAAAAAGTCGGCGGAAGAAGGAAAGTGTAGTTGAAGTATTAACTGTAAACAGACTTGCGAAATATGTAGGATGGATTGAAATTAATTTTGACATCTTTAATCCAGGTGGTGGCATGTCATTTAGTGAAGGTAGACATAATTAGTTAATAATACGCAAGTAAAGAAAGTCGGGAGAAGAAAGAAAGTGTAGTTAGTTAATTAGTTGTACATAGTTTCACGTTAGAGAGAAAGAGAGAGTGTCGAGGAGGTTGGTTAATTTTAAAATATTCCACACTTTTCGTTAAATATTAATACTTCATTTAATTATTTTGCAGATGGTCATCAAATTCGCTAACTCGGCTACTCAAGACGGTGGAAAATGGTAAAGATTGAAGAAAATGATGAAGAAGTCTCCCTTGGAAAAACGTCGGGTTTGGCTTATCAATCAAGAAGATCGATAATCGTCCTTTAGTTGAGGTGGTCATTGTTCATTCGGAGGTGTCCATGTCGAAAAAAATTCAGCATTATCATGACGATGATAACTGTTCCTCGGAGAAGTGTCGTATCGTGACGTGACGTGACGATGATATTAACAAAAGTGATTCTACAGTACTACTTTTTGTGAGCAGCAAGCAAACTTCGAGATGATTGTCATCCAAAAGTTTCTATTTCTATTTAAATCAAAATATCGACGGAAATGGTGGGCGGCGGTCAAAATGTCACCGGTGTGTTTCGACACGACACTAATTTTCCTCGTGCTCCTCTTCCTCATCAAGTTCAGCGTGGTGGCGGAGGGGAAACGGTGCGGGGGGAATAATGTGACCGCGTTCGAATGCATTAATGGAGATTGTGTCGAGGATCAGGTAAATTTTTCAATTAATTAGTGTTTAAAATTAATTGTACAATTATTTTATGATTAAAAATGTGGTGTTTTTACCCTCAGGAGAACGGTGGTGCCCTAAAATGCCAGTGTAAATCAGGATTTTCCGGCCCCGGGTGTCAACACTGTCACGGGAAAGTTAAGTAAGTTGTTAAGCAAGGTTAATTACAACAGTAATTTGTATATTGATATACAAAATGTATTGTTTTTTGTTTTTGTAAAGGTTACAGGGTCAAAGTGGCTGGATAAGTGACGGGCTGGGAAATTATACCGCAAATATGAAGTGCACTTGGCTCTTGGAGTCATCCCCTACGCTCAACAGCAGTATATCTCCGATATTTTTAAGGATTGAGGAATTTGCCACGGAATGTGGGTGGGACTGGGTAATTCATTCATTAATTAAACATATAAATCAGCACTTATGTTTATTTAAGGTCAACAATATTGAGGAAATTGATTAACGTAGTTCGTGGTAACATTGTAAAATCCGTGAATTATGTAAACTTGCAAAATTTTAGAATGCTTCGAAGGGAAATTAGGGTACAAATTTTTGTAAACTTGCTCAGATCAAAGGAGGCGTCTCTTTATTTTGTAAAAGTCTATAAAATTATGGCACAAAACGCACGGATTTTGCAAAGTTACTAATAACTGCGTGCATTTCTTTGTTATATTACTTACGGTATATTACTATGTTCCATTTTAGATGTACATTTACGACGGTGACAGCGTTTATGCACCCTTGTTAGGAGTATTCAGGTAATAAATTAACTATCCTGTATATTAAATTGTGGGCCACAATTTGTAATTAATTTTATACTTGGATATTTCAGTGGAATTGTAGTACAAAATAAATACCAAGCACTTCGTTTACCTGAGATCGTTGCAAAGTCTGGATACGCACTGCTCCATTTCTACACCGATGTTGCTTACAACTTGACCGGATTCAATATTACCTACAGGTAAATAAGAGGACACTTACAAGGGTATCTTTTCCAAGCTACACCGGGATTGTGTAACGAGATGTATCAAAGGATCAAGCCGAAAATTAGGAATTACATGGCGCTTATCTTTCCGTTGAATGGTTCTTTTGAAGAAAAATAGTGCGAGCAAAGTTCAATTTTTTAGTAAACTTTCCCTCCACGAGGCGAAACCCAAGGCGCTCGTGGGTACTTTGACCCCCAATGTTTTTCTTCATGAACGGAATGATAAGCGCCATGTGATCCTTAATTTTTGGCTTAATTTGTTGATATAATTCGTTAAGCTATTCTGGTGTAGCTTGAAAAAGGTTCCATTGTTTGCGCGGATTTAGTTTTGTAACGTGTCCAATTTCTAATTGTCTCGGTTACAAATTAATTATTGCAGAAGCAATTCCTGTCCAAGTAACAACAGCAAGTTGGAATGTTCCGGAAACGGGTTGTGCATAGAAGGACAATGCACGTGTGATGCAGCCTACTCAGGGAAATCTTGCAGCATTGAAAAGTGTCCGAACAATTGCAGCCATAATGGAATATGTGACATGGAGAAGCATCAATGTCGATGTAGCGAGGGGTACAGAGGTATTTGGCACTAATTAGCATTTATTATGACCCCCGCGCTAATAATTATAAATATTATGCTTATAGGAAATGACTGTAGTTACGAGGAAAAAGAAGGTTATTGGGAAGTCGTTTATCCAGAGGGGTCAAATCCGAGGGGGTCAGCTTCTCACGCGTCCATAGTTCATAACGATTCCTTATGGGTCTTTGGCGGAAGTACGCTTGGTCTCGATATCAACGATGAAATTTATATTTCTAAATTCGACTTTATAGGTAAAAAAAAACTTGCGAATTTACTGATCTCATGTCAGACATGTTTCTCACGTGAGAAACATCCGTACTGATGTTCGTAAAATCAGAACTCAAAAATTAAGTAACTTGACATAAACAACAGTTGTGTAGTCTGGCACTTGACCTTTTCTGCCAAATTCACGAAGTTAAGAAGGTTTCAAGTTACCAAAAACACACGTTTTCAACATGCGAAACTATGAGACGTTCACATCTCCGCTTTCCGATGGTGAAAATGGGTGTTTTTGCCAACTTGAAACCTTCTTAATTTCGCGAATTTTGTGTAAGTGCTCAAGTGTCACGCTGTTGTTTGTGTTAAGTTACTTGATTTTTTTAGTCCTGCTTTAAGAAGATCCGTGAGAAAGATGCCTGACATATGGATTGTCTGTATTTATATACCAATTTTAATCATCACTTTCTCCTCCCACATTTAGCCAACACTTGGGAAACGATAGTTACAAATAAAGGAGATGCTTCACCACCGTCATTATACGGTCATACCTGCGTCCTTTATGAGGTAACCTGTGTTAATAAACGCATAAAGATAAGATTGCGATATTAAATGCCACAATTTGCTAAAAATTTGCGTATTTGCACATTCCAGGGGAAGGTCTACTTATATGGAGGCGTGCAAGGGGGAAGGTTTGGAAATCGTGACATTTCAAAGTCAGTCTGGTCCTTTGACTTAGCAACTAGAAAATGGTCTAAGATTGTCGTGCGACCGGAAAAATGTCGCCGTGGGATGTGCGGTCCTCTCCGCGTTTTTGGCCATACCGCAGTTATCATTAATGATAAGGGGAATAAGAGCAGACATTCTCGTATGGTTGTGATTTCTGGACATTCTCCCCGCTACGGTTATGTCAATGTGGTGCAGGAATTCCATTTCGGTATGTTTACAAAATTATTTAACGTCCTATTTAACTGATCGTAATTTAATACTTTTTTTTACCATAATTAATACTTTTTTCCCGAATACTTCCTCTTATGATAAGGAAATCCAAGGTGACCATAACAGAGAAAAATCTTGTCTTGTAAAAGAAGTATTTCTGTAAAAAAAAAAACACTTATCCTGGTCGGGAGTAGTATTAAATCATGATCAGTTAAACCTTCTCCAATTATTTGTTACCGATATGGTTGCAAACATAGCGAAATTCTTGGTTTGCATACAATAATTTGAAATTAGACTAATTCTCTTTATACCATATGGGTGTTATTAAAACTAAATTATGCAAATCAACCCTTCCGCGAATTATTTACACTTAATAACCTTACCAAATTTATCCCCAGGGAGCGCAAACTGGCACATCGTCACCACAAAGGGCTACCCCTTCACCGGTTCTTTCGGCCATTCCTCCCACTGGGATCCCGTCACACAAAAAGTATACGTTTTCGGTGGATACCAAATCAGCCAAGACTCCACGTCCGCATATCTCTCCAGCTCTCTATATTCCTACGACCCGTCCTCACACACCTGGCACGTGCAAGAGAAAGGCCCCGAAGGCCGCTTTCTCCACGGGGCCGTGGTCCATCGCGGGTTATACTTCATCTTCGGCGGCAACGGTCACAACGATACCACATACAGCCTTGGCTCAAAGTGCTTTACGAGCGAAGTCATGGTCTACGATATTGCCTGTGACGCCTGGTCCACCCTGAAACCTCCGGAGCAAAAAATTGCGGCTGATACGTCCCGCTATGGCCACTCCGTTTTCACTTATGAAGACCAAATCTATTTGTACGGCGGGTTCAACGGGCTCCTCCAGAACGATGTGATTCGCTTTAATCCAACTAGTTGTAGGGTGTTCACGAGCCAGAAAGAGTGCACGACCAGTGTCAAACAAGGTGTCAAGTGTAACTGGAATAAACTTAAGGAGATTTGTGAACCCGGGGGGCAACAACCGGGTTTAAAAGACAAGGAAAAAGACAAGGAGAAGGATGCAAGTAATGTCTGCGGGATTCGAGGGGGTGGAAGTGGGGGGAAGAAATTAGAGGATAATTGTTTAAGTTATCCGAGCTGTTCGACGTGTTTGCATAGCAAGTCGGACTGTGTCTGGTGTGGGGGACATTGTCAGTATGCAAAGTGCAAGGATATTAAGCATAAGGTGGGTGGGAATGCGTGTAAAGAAATGTAGGATAAGATGACGAATTATTAAAAGAAGCACGTTTTTAATTATTTTTCGGGTCTGAGAATTTATTTTAAAAGTATGGACGACAAATTTGTACTCAGTGAGTTGATTTATGAAATGGAGTTGAGTTTTTTGAGCCAGTTTCGATGAGTTTCAATTTTTTGGAAGGCTTCTTAAACGTGAGATCTCTTCCGTCAAAACGTATCAAAATCTGGGGTGTATATTTTTTAATTGGCAATGACCATCTCTACAAATTTGTCGTCCGGAATTTTAAAATAAATTCCAAGAGCGGAGAAGTGATTAAAAATGTGCTGATTTTGACGATGTTGGTGATGAGTTATCGAGTCCTACGCTAATTTAACGAGTCTAATTTTTTTTAACTAATTTGCATTTTCTTTTTTTGCACTTTAGCCCGTTTCATCTCCCGACCATTGTAAAGATGACGATTCCGTGTGTAAATATCACCTCCACAACTGCCCCTTATGTTCCACGGAAGTTGGTTGTATTTGGGGAAAAGATGAGCGATGCATAAAAGACAGTAAGCGAACTATGGCATTGATTATCTGTTAGAGGATTTTTTTGAAAAATTTATAAATTTGCATAATTTTTATTTTCAGGAAACCCAACCGAAGGTTTATTAACGGATAGAGAAGTCGCTCCGTGTGAACAAAGTTGCGCCGATTTGTCCACGTGTACCAACTGTACGTCGAACAATTGCATGTGGTGCAACAGTTTAAATACGTGCGTGGACAAGAACGCATACGTAATATCATTCCCGTACGGAGAGTGTATGTCTTGGTCACAACTTTCTAGTTCCTGCTATTCAAAAGACTCGCAGTTTGTTTCTACCAGAGTTTCAAGTATGGAATGATTATTATTATAATACGGATAATGGAGGTCTCCGAACGAATGCTCTCAGATTTTTGGCAAATTAGTGCCAACCAATCATAAATTTAATTAGTACAAAATTTGCGAAGGACACGATCTCCCAATGGGCACGTTTGGCGCAGATCTGTGCATCCGAAGAGGAGAAAACGCGCGGTAAATTTGGAAAGTGTAAGATTTGTCGACTTTAGGGCGCCTTTTCTCCTCTTTGGATCCAAATATCTCTGCCAAACGTACCCATTGGGAGATCGTGTCCTTCGCAAATTTCGTACCAATTAAATTTATGATTGGTTGGCACTAATTTGCCAAAAATCTGAGAGCATACGCGGGAGACGTCAATTGTTAGTTAACGTATTTGTAAATAATTGCTCCATCATCATTAATCTTAACACTATGTTTTTCTAGTGTGTGACGAAGTAGCTTCATGTGACTCCTGCCTAGCCTTGCCATCCTGTGGATGGTGCGATGACGGCTCTGGAACTGGAAAAGGTCGCTGTATGGATGGATCCAGTCGCGGTCCACTTTCCATCAATTCGACTGGAGCCTTTCTCAACCATACGAATTGTCCCGATCCCAAATGGCATTTTACAAATTGTCCAGGTGACTTGACCAGAATTAGACATTTGGTTTAAATTCCCCTCTTCAAAAAATACACAACTTAAAGGTTTTCATAGTTCAGATTTGTTTACAAAAATTTCTTTTGAGCGCGATGTTGATTTCATAATTACGCCTGACAGGAGCAATTAAATTTTCAAGATTTCCTATAAAGGACGAATATTTATTTCGACCAGTTTCCAATTTTTTAGTTTTTTGATGAGAAAAACGAAAACCCCAAGTTCTATCATTGGTTTCTACAATTCTAAAGTTTATAAAGTCTAAAAATTTCAAAATTTGAGGAGAAAAATATCTAAGAAGTCAGCTTTTTATAATCAAATTTTCCCAAAAAATCCAAATAAATGCTCTTATTTTGAGAAATTTTCGTATCAGATAATTTATGTAGTACAAACATTTATGTATTTCGTCCCATACGAAAAATAAAATGCTACACAAACATGTATATTTCGCCCGTTGAGAGGTTATCTAATCCATTATTAAATACTTTCAGCCTGTCAATGCAACGGGCACACCACATGTGATGAAAACTTTCGCTGCAAAAAATGCCAGGATTTCACAGAAGGAGCAAATTGTGAAAAATGCATACACGGCTATTACGGCAAAGCTATTAACGGGGGTCACTGCAACCTATGCGAGTGCAACGGTCAGGCGGACGTGTGTCACACGGAGACGGGACGCTGCTTCTGCACGACGAAAGGCATCACGGGGGAAGAATGCAAAAAATGCGATACTCAAAACAACTACAGCGGTGATCCGAACAACAGTTCTTGCTTTTACGAGCTTCAAATCGATTATCAATTTACGTTCAACCTGTCGAAAAAGGAGGATCAGTACTATACCAAAATCAACTTCAGAAATACTCCAAACAAACAAGATATTGATGCCGACTTCCAAATTACTTGTTCAATGATGGCGAAAATGAATATTAGTTATATTAGAGGTGCGTAATACGGTTATTTTACTGGTAAAAGTGTTTCGGGTGTAAGTAATCCACCATCTGCAAGAAATAAGGGGGAGAAAGTGGTTTCTTGCACTTTCTCCCAGGTTCTTGCACCTCGCATTTCTTGCGTAGCTTACTTTGCACTGCAAGAATTGTAGTAAACCCACATCAAACGAAACACTGACTACATATAAACGTGTCAGAATTTTACTAATTTTCTCAAATTTTTGATTTCACAGTCGGCCTCCCGGAAACATTTATCATTCAAAACCACACTTGTACCACGTTTAAGTATCGCTTTTCAAGAAACGAGTTCAGTTTTGGGGCTCCGGATAATACCACGTTTTACGTTTACGTGTACGATTTCCATCCACCGCTCTGGATTCAGATATCATTTTCGCAATCTCCAAAATTAGACTTGCTTCATTTCTTTATTACGTTTTCAACGTGAGTGAAATTCAAATTTAACTTAATTTTAGAGGACGCATATGAACAACCTTATGAAATAATTAATATTTTGTGTATATTTAGGTGTTTCTTAGTCCTGTTAATTCTCGCAGCAGGTTTGTGGAAAATCAAGCAAAAGTATGACATGTACAGGCGACGACAGGTACGTATTAAAAATAACGGTTCAAAATTATTTCGAATTTTTACTAATTCTAATTTCTCTATGTTCAATTTGTCTTTTTTACAGCGCTTATTTGTAGAAATGGAACAAATGGTAAGTAAAATTCGAATTAAGCAATTAACGGAGGCCTTGGTAACTTCGTAAAATCCGTAAATTCTGTAAAGTTACAAACTTTCAAACTTTTCGAAGGAAAATTAGCTACAACATTTTTGTAAACTTGTTCCGATCAAGGGCATCTCTTTATTTTGTAACAGTTTGTAAAATCATGGTACAAAACCCAAGGATTTTAGAAGTTACCGATCACTGCGTGAATTAGCCCATCTTTCAAAACTACAACCCATTCCTGAATGGTTTTCAGTAATACAAGAAACACATGTTTATCTTTTACAGGCTAGTCGACCCTTTGCCCAAGTATTCATGGAATTAGGACGAGCAAACCCGTTATCAAGATTGTCGTCGTTACGTCGCCGAAGAAAAGTAAGTCATTCAATTATAAATGATCATTTTTAGCACAAAACGTTGAAAGCGGGAGGGCAAACCCTTTGTTAAGGGCCCGTTTGTGTGTGGGCGAGGGAATTTTCTGAAGTCCCCCGTTTTCCAGATTTCGTCCCCCCGTTTAAAAAAAACAGAAATCACACTCACGATCTGCAATGATACCTATTTTAATCTCATTTTATTCCAGGACGCACCGAGTCCCATCGCTCTGGAGCCATGTCAAGGAAATCGGGCCGCTGTACTTTCCCTCTTGATAACGTTACCCACAGGGTCGCGCCAATTCTCCCCTCCAGGCCAATCTGGTAATTATAACATAAATATTTAACCTATTAACCGTTTGTGACACTATTAATTAAAATATTCATTTCAAAATTATCCCAGGCTTATCCGTCGGATCTACCCTCGTGGCGTTAGGAAATCCACGAAAAGCCAGTTTTGAGCCTGCATCGAAGACTGAAGGAAAAAATAAGATTCGAAAATCGTTACCCTCGCATGGATTAAACACGTGCATTTAGTCAATCTTAACATTATTATTAGCGCAATTAGTTAATTTTAATTATTATTTAACCTTTTTTATCAAGACAGACACACTGCTACAAAGTGCAACTTATTTGTGCAGGTGCCGTTTTTCGTTTTTAAATGTTTTTTTTCTCTCATTTGCATAATTATATCAATCAATCATGGTGCTCAAAACCACATCATACACAAACAACAATCCAAGGAAATAGTCACCCCGATTACTTATCCGTTATTTTATTTTATTTTACTAATATATAATTTTACCTTTCGTATTTATGTACGAGTTCATTCATGTAACGTGTAGCTTTTATTCGGTTCGTTCGTTGGTATTAACAATCTTATTATTAAACAATATCATCATTACTAAATAGATTATATGTCAGGATAGACTTAAAATTACGAGGGGCGAACGTATGTAGTAGCGTATGAATTTAGTAGGTAAGACATCATCTCAATCGCAGATAAGAGGGCGAGATATTGGGTGAGGATTTTCGACGAAATGTCCGGCGATTTGTTAGCAAAATCGCTGAGAATTTGTAGAGTAGATACGAATTATCAGCGAAATGTCCGTCAATTCGTTAGCAAATTTGTAGAATTGATGCGAATTTGCTAACGAATCGGCAGACATTTCGCTTCGAATTCGCATCGACTCCACAAATTCGAAGTGAAATTGCTAATGAATCAACGGACATTTCGTAGAAAATTCTCAACTAATATGTCCCCCTGTTATCTGGGATCCTTGTTTAACATATTCGCAACATATTCCAAAAAGTACTTCTGTATCGTTGCGTCACCATAAATATTAAGTATGGCCAAGTGAATATTTATAGTGCTAAAACAACCAGGCTTGCATGTCACATACTTAATTAGCCTTTTAACTTATCATGTTTTTTTGTGATCTACAATTTTATTTAACAAAATACCAAAGTTATTATCAATCGCTATACATTTAACGTAGGGCTGGATGCCTCATCACCAAAATCGTAAAAATCACCACATTTTTGATTATTTCTCCCCTCTGGGAATTTATTTTAAAATTCTGGACGACAAATTTATCCTCAGCAAGTTGATTGATGGAATGGGGATGTTTTTTGAGCCAGTTTCGACCAGTTCCAATTTTTCTGAAGACTTCTTAAACTTGAGATCTCCTCCGCCAAAAAGTGTCAAAATCTGGAGTATATATTTTCAAAAAATTGGAAACGACCTACTCTACAAATTTGCCGGCCAGAATTTTAAAACAAATTCCCAGACCTGAGAAATGATTCAAAATGTGGTGATTTTCACGATTTTGGTGATAACGCATTGAGTTCTACGTTAAATTTTTTTATTTAACTTATTTATTCAAAGATATTTACAAAAGAATTAGTAATTTTTATACAATACGATAACGTTATTAAAGTGACATGACATTAAGCTAGAAAGATATTTATAAGAATTATTACCGTTCCGTGATGCTACTGCTGCTCTAATCCGTTAATCGGTGGTATACATGCATAGAATATATTTCTTGTAAAAATGTACAGTCTGTTTGTGACAGGTAATTAAAACGAGGAGGAAGAGATGAGTTGATAAAAGGTGTCTGTTTTCTTGAAAAAATGCGTGATTTAATCGAAAATTAATGACTTTTTTTTTGTCAGAGGAGAAAGAGGACGACTGCTTTATTAAATTCTGCTCTTTCTGGCAAACCGTTATCTGCTCGTAATACGGATAAACAGTGTTTCCGCTGTTAAAAACCACGAAATTAGGGCACGAAAGTGGTTTTAAATGGTTAATAACACCCACCAAAAATTTGGAAAAGTGCGTGAAAATGCATAAAAATCGGTTAAAGGCAAAAATAATATTGCAATTTTTCTAAATATTTGACTAATTAAGAAATCGTTGTGGTATTTTATGGTAATTTCGACACCATTTTAGTATTTTGATTTCAAAATATTTTCAATTTTTTATATAAAAAAGTGGTGTTGTAAAGTTTCAAATCAGTTTACATAACTGGATATTATCGGATTTGAAGTAGTATAAAAATTTATGATTTCTGAAAATTATGAAATTCCCTGGATTTCATTCAGTTTTATGCATTTTCATATATTTATGTGCATTTTCGTGCATTTTGTATGCATTTTACGCAATTTTATGCACTATCCATGCATAAAAATATCTAGTATTATATGCACAAAAAGAAACACTGGATATAAATCGAGCCAGATTTAGCATAATACGGATCTTGAGCAAAATTCATTACAGGGAGGACGAGCCGAAGGAAATAATTCTTCCAGAATTCGAATCACGAAACAAGAAAAGATGAATCTGACGGACTGACTGACGGATAGACGGGTATAAATCTTAGGCTCTCGGAAATTTTTCGGGGTTTCCTAGTTTTATTTACTTTCAAACGGGGAAAAATGTTGGACATATTTCGCAGTGGAAAATGTGAGTGAACGCATATTTTTTTGCAAAAACCTTTTGGAAATTGTTGCTATTGTATTTTTGGGCACTAAATTTTAGCCATTTGGGAGTTTCTTAAAAAAACGGCCAGTCCCATACATATTTTCGCAGGGTTTGGCTACATGGAATCAATAATTCCCAATTTTTTAAACAAATGTCCTCATTGTGTGGCTCAATGGGATCAAGGAATTTATACTTTTTTGTCCCGATTAAACCAGAATTGTAGATCTTTCTTTGGAATCATTTTTTATGTAGGGTACTTATTTAGCATCGCAACTCATTTAGCAAATTTGCGAAACTCTGAGCGGATTCGCAACATATGACTTCGCAAATCTCGCAAATCTACATACTTATAAGAACACCTATTGTGACGTTGTTTCCATGAATTTCTGTAATTTCTCTAGCCGAGGACGAGTTTGCGAAATGATTTTGCAAAACAAAAACATGCCCATTTGCTGCGTAAAATTTCAAAAAAAATTCTATAGTTTTCCAGCAAAAAGGTTTCAGAAACTTCGCAAATTGCGTGTTACTATGGTCAATTTTCGAGATATGCAAAAGTTCACGTGACGTTCGTAGAAATTTACTGAAAATTTGATTCGAATTTCCTTGTAGACAACTCGTTTCTGAGTGATGATCTCATCACTTTTGATTGAATTGAATGGCTCTCATTTTTATCCCATCACAATAAAAGTCTTAATCCATGATTTAACTCGAATAATCGTATCATGTAACATACACAGAGCTAAATATTTTGATCTGTCGTTGCGTGTATCGTGTGTCGTACAAAACATTGCGTCTTTTTCCACCACTAATTCCACCACTTTGACCTACACGGCTCACCTGACCTCATGTGTGTACCACACCACATGCATGAAGGGGAAGAATAAGCGGATCAAGATTCATCCATAACATCGAAACGTGTCGCATTTACGATTGTATGAAAAAGTTAATGACATACGAACTTCGTCCCGAGTAAAAATTTGGACCAATCTTGACCAGAAATTTTGTCCAATCTTACGCAGAAATTTTGAGCGATTTTCTGGAGAGATTTGGATCGATCTTGTGCAGATATTTTGCCCGGTTTTGTGCAAAAATTTGGCTTGATCTTGGACACAAATTTGGTCCAATCTAGTGCAAAAATTTCCCCGAATTGTGTCCTATTTTCTTCAGAAATTTGGTCAGATTTTGTGTAGAATTTTGCTCTTTAGTCTGCACCGATGTGGCTTTATTTTCTGCAGAAAAATTGTATGCAGTGCTAATTTTTCTGCATAAAATTAAGCAGAATTTTGCACATTTCGTTCTGTAGAGTAAAACCGAAATTTTGGAAAGGTTTGTAGAAAAGTATGTATGTGCAAAAAATTTTGCAGAATACAATCTGCACTCAGCTTTTGTCTCTTTTACTGCAGAATTCGATACAGTACTTTCTACTCGGACATTTATTCGCATAAATTTAACTCGAATGGCACAACTGTAGTTCTCGATGCCGTAAAAATAAGACCCAGAGCGTATCTACATATGTATGTACAGACAGTGTACACACATTTTTTTAGGCTGGGTTGGGTCGTCCTGGTCCAAGTCGAGGATTGGGACAAAGTGGTGAAATAATGTTATTAAAGCTTCGTCTTAATGTCGTCCCATCTCGTCCGTCGTTAGATTCAGATTTAGATTCCCTTTAGCTTTACATAAAAGGGATTTATCTCTCAAGCAGCAGGAAAAAGAAGAACCAGGGTTCCGTTCTTGCAGTGCAGGAAATGCGAGGTGCAAGAAAGTGGGAGAAATATATGCGCCATCTAGCCACGCGCCGTATGAAGTATTTAAAGCAGCGTAGTGTAGTTTCTTGCACCTTGAATTTCTCCCAGGTCAAAATATGAAACCACTTTCTTCCCATCATTTCTTAAAATTGGTTACTTGCATCCGAAACATGGGCGAGAAGACCAAATTTTTTGAAATAATGCAAATTTCTTGCTTGATTTTCTACCCAAAAATCTAATTCCTTAGCAAACAACAAATTTAAATTAATTTCAGGGTTTCGTTTCTTACGAGTTTCCCACATTTCTTGCACTTTCAAAGCAAGCAGTGCAAGAAATGCGAGGTGCACGAAATATGGGCCATCTAGCGTATGAACTATTTACAGCTGTGGGACGTAGTTTCTCCTGCCTTGCATTTCTCCCAGGTCAAAATAATCACCTGCATAAAACCCACTTTCTTCCCCCCCCTGTTATTTCCCCCGAAACCCTAGAAGAAGAAGAAGAAGGTAAGCAAAGCCAGCCAGCGATCCATCCATCCATCCATCGACGGCCTATATCTCTTGGCCAGAGAGAGCTCAATTAGATTGCTGACACGGGCAAGATTATGGTTCATTAATCGATTCTGAGTTGCCATCCAATATCCAGCAGCCAGGCCACTTACGGACCAACTTATCTCGCACACAGACCAGTATGCACACACATCTTCCTCTCTCTCTCTCTCTCGAGGAGGAAGAAGACGACGAAATTTTAATCCGTACAAAAACAGACCAGAAGGCAGGCAGATGACATTCTCCAACTTATCCGAACCACCTCTCCCCGTCGTTCCGTCGTCCTGCTGGATAATAAAGATACTCGGAGGATTAATTAGCCCAGAAGGAGGACAGAGTATGTATCGTTATTATCTATGTAGGGGAAAGGGACCGCGCAAAGGGGTGGGGGACATCGGGGTAGATAATCGTCCCCACAAAAAATTTCTAGGGGTCCATGTGCACGTATCGTTACAGAAGGTGGACACGTATTTACGAAAAATCCCTAAAATATGTATTTAGAATTTATGAAAAAACGCCATTTACGAAATATTTATGAGAAAAACATAAAGTTAAGAAATTTTGAAAAATTTCTAGCTTTTGGGTTTAATCATGAGGGTTTTTGTGGTCCAATTTCTTCCAGCAAAAAAAATTGTCTCACATTATTGAAATATTTGCAATATATGTATGTATTTTTGAAACAAAAAATGACAAACATGTACGTATTTTTGAAATAATAGAAGAAATATTGATATGTCTGAAAACTTAGAAATATTTTCCAACATATACAAATATTTTGAAATTTTTGTGACGAGGACACACCGAAAAAGTTTGACCGTCGGTTGCAAACTTAAAAAAATACATATCCGCCCTCCTCTGATCGTTAGTATCCGTACTTTTAGGAGTTGTTGTATATACAATACATTGCATGAAGTTTTGGCCTTTTGCATGCGGGAGAAATTGAGAATGCAATTTCATTTTTTGCAAACCCGAAAAATATTTAGCTGTAAGAAATTAGTCTTGTTCCCGTTATTTCTGGCAAATGGTGATCTTACTTGCAGGCGAAACACTATATAAAACCCATCAGCGATTAGTACCGCTTTAGTCCCCAGACACGCCATCCGCCGCCTTTGCAAGAGAGAACCTCGTACATATCTGACGTCAGGAGGAGGAAAGCTTGAAGCAGCTTTTATTATTCAATCGCACTCTTCCAAAATGCACACTGGAGGAGAATAACATAACAATTAATTAGTCCT